ATGCAATTCATAAAACCACAAAGAGATTATAAAATCTGCAGTATCACAACTCACTTTGTTGTTACAAATTATATGACATGGAAGACAGAAATCGCCAATAAAAGTGCATATAAATAAATACTGTTCATTAGTTGCAGATATGAACATGTACTCTAGATTAGTCCTCGCAATTTAGGCCACAGTTTTTTAAACTCCCAAAATCAAATTCTGAGAAAAACACCATCAGCAATAGTAACATATCACCAAGCAAATGAACGAAGGAACACATCTTTGGAAATCAGAGATCATATCAAAACAGACTTGGTAGCGATACCAAAACAACAAACAAATTAACACAAATGTGGCCCAAACCCGACCAGTTTAAACAAATACGACAATAGTTAGGCTTGATTATTAGACTTGTTAGACCTGAGCCGGTCGAGTCCTGAGCGCTCCTCTTCTTCGTCGCTCGTGTAGGAAGACATACCAGAAACGGCGCCTCTCGTAGTAACCTGCATTAATTCTTGATCCGGGGCATTTCTATTTTCGTACAACAAAATATTCAACGTCTCTTCGTAAATCCTCGCTTCAGGACATTCCACTTTCGTGTGCTTCTTATCTGTAGCGTACACAATCGAAGTACAGCACACCTCCGAAACCTTCTTGCCATGTCCATAAAAGACCCAACAACAAATCTCACTCGTACTAATCACGTCCTTCAAAAACAAGACTCGATTGCTATACCACAGCGACAGCTTATCAAACAACTCGATATTTTTCAACAAATTATCATCAGAAGTGGTCGTATAGGAATACTTGTTATTGTGCCGATTGATTAAAAGTTTAATAGCGGGCTTGGTTGTCGAACTTATCAACAGCTCCTCTTCCTTCTGCGAGGTGATAAGCGGGACTTTGCAAATGGGGTCGTGGTCGCTCCTTTCCTTCTTGGCTAGCGCTTGAGTGCACGATTCCGCCAGCTCCGCTATGCAGTAATACTTAGCTTCGGCGTAAAACTCCGCTATTTCTTTGCTGCTTTCAGGCAGCGACACGTTCCCATCCCGCAGGAAGTTTAAAATAGCCCCAAAGTGCTTGCCACATCGGTCTATCAAAATCCACCCTGAAGACAACTTTCTGGAGAATTGTACACAGTGATTATTATCTTCTTACCATGAGAAAAAACTGGGTGGTTGGGCGGGGCCACTTTGAGGTTTTTTTCAATCATAGATTCGAACACTTGACTCAATCTTCATCTCTTACTAAATAAAATAAACCAATGAAAGTCAAAAGTGTAGGTGGGTTGGATTAGTTTTAATTTTTTTTTTTTTTTAGATTACACTATCAATATAAAATCCACTTTTCGTCCAATAAAATGAGTGATCGAGAAAAAAACCGGGTGGGTGGGCGGGGCCATTTTGAAGTTTTTTTTCAATCATAGATTCGAACACTTTACAAAATAAAATTCAACCTTCATCTCCCAATAAATAAAATAAGCCAATGAAACTTTCGGTGAAGGTGGGTGGGATTAGTTTTACCGTTTTACTTTTTTTGCTTAGATTCCACTATTTATTAATTCAAAATAAAATCGAAAAACCCTAAAAATAAAGAAAATAAGGAACTGGAACGAGATACTGCAAATCGAAAATTTGAAGAAATGAAAAAAATTTAAAACTCAGTAATTGAAAAATGGAAAAATTCTAAAATTGAAAAAGTGAAACCTTTTAAAAATTATAATTAGAGAGAGAGATAGGAAAACTAGAAAATTGCAAATCGAACATTGAAGGATTGAAAGTTTGAAAAATCGAGAAACTAAATCTAAAATGGAAAAAAAGAAAAATTAAAAATCTAAAAGTCGAAAAATTGAAGACATAAAAAACTGGAAAATTGTAAAAATCTAAAAAATAAAATATCCAAAAGACGGAAGGACGAAAAACTGAAAAATTTTTAAATGAAAACTCGAAGAATTGCAAATCGAAAATTTGAAAAAACGGGAAATTGAAAAAAAATTAAATTGAGAAAACAAAAAATTATTAAATCGTAGGTAACTGAAAATTTGAAAAACTAAAAATAAAAAACCGAAACGAAAAACTAAAAATTGGAAATTGAAAAGTCGGCAAATTTTAAATGGAAAAATTACAAAATCCAGTAACTGAAGAAACAAAAAAAAAATGAAAATCGCAAATCCAAAAACTGAAGAAATGAAAAATTGAAACTTTTGGAGGAACGAAAAATTGAAATTAAAAGAAATATATATAAAATCAAAAATTAAAGAGTCGAAAAATTCAAAAATTAGAAGTTGAAACTCCGGGAAATTTTAAATGGAAAAACTGAAAAAATGTTAAAAAACAAAACTGAAAAAGCGATAAATGTTTGAAAGTTATTACATGTTTAAAATGAAAACTAGAAAAATCGAGAAAATGAAAATCTAAAATTAAAAAAACTAAAAATTAAAATCGAATAATTGAGAAGTTAAAAATTTAAAACCTCTGAACTTGCAAATCGAAACATTGAAAAATTCTAAAATTTCAGTTTGTAAAAAAGAAAAATTATAAAATAAGAACTTTGAAAAATTGGAAAAATGAAGAAAATAATAAAAAAAGGAAACGAAAAGCTGCAAATCGAAAATTTGAAGAAATGGATAAATAATTAAAGAGTTGAAAATTCAAAAATTAGAAATTGAAAATGCGGGAAATTTTTAAACTAAAAAAATTAAAAAACAACTTTTTGAAAGTTATTACGTGTTTAAAATGAAAACTAGAAAAATCAAGAAACTGAAAATCTAAAAATTAAAGAGATGAAAGATAAATTGGAAAATCAAAGAATAGAACATTTAAAAATTGAAAACTCCTAAAATTGCAAACTGAAAAAAACCGTATTTTCAATATAAAATCCACTTTTCTTCCAATAAAATGAGTGATCGAGAAGAAAACGGGGTGGGTGGGCGGGGCCACTTGAAGTTTTTTTTAAACATTCGACCACTTGACTCTTCAATGAAATAAACCAATGAAATTTAAGGGTGAAGATGGGTGGGATTAGTTTTACCTTTTTTGTTTAGATTCCACTATTTATTAATTCAAAATAAAATCGAAACTCGAAAAATCGTAAAAATAAACAAAATAAAACACTGAAACGAGATATTACAAATCGAAAATTTGGAGAATTGAAGAATTAAAAAATTGAAAAATCAAAGAAATGAAAAAATTTTAAAATTGAAAAAATGAAAATTTTTACATAAATTTGAAAAATCGAGAAACTAAAAAAATTAAAATTGAAAAAAAGAAAAATTGAAGACAAAAAATTGAAAAATTGTGAAAATCTAAAAAATGAAGTATCCAAAAGTTGGAAAATCGAAAAACTGCAAAATTTTTAACTGAAAACTTGAAGAATTGCCAATCGAAAATTTGAAGAAACGGAAAACTGAGAAAATAAAAAGTTATTGAATCGTACATAACATTGAAAATTTGAAAAACTGTAAATATAAAAAAATATATAAAACCGAAACGAAAAATGAGAGTTGAAAAATTGAAAAATTAGAAATTGAAAATTTGAGGAATGTTAAAAGGGGAAAAACTGAAAAAATGAAAAAAATAAAAAACTGAGAAATGGAAAATCGAAAAATTTTAAAAGTTATTACATATTTAAAATGAAAACTAGAAAAATCGAAACTGAAAATTTAAAATTAAAAAAACGACAAATTAAAAATTTAAAACCCCTGAAATTGCAAACCGAAAAATTGAAAAACTGAAATATTATAAAATCAAAACTTTGAAAAACTGAAAAATTAAAAAATAAAGAAAATAAAAAACCGAAGCGAAAAACTGCAAACCCAAAAATCTATTTTTCGGTTTGCATTTTATGAGTTTTCAATTTTTGGATGTTCCAATTTTTCTTTCATCTCTTCGGTTTTGTATTTTCTTTATTTTTTCAACTTTTCGGTTTTAAATGTTCTGATTTTGTAAATTTTTTTTCAATGTGAAATTTTTCAGTTTTTGGAATTTCCAATTTTTCGGTTTTCATTTTTTCGATTTTTCAACTCCTAGATTTTTAATTTTTCGGTTCTTCAATTTTTGATTTGCAATTTTTCTAGTTTTCATTTTAAATATGTATGTATTATTCATAATTTTTATAATTTTTCATTTTTTCAATTTTATGATTTTAGAATTTTTTGATTTTTAATTTTCGAAAAACTGAAAAATAGAAACATCCAAAAGTTGGAAAATCGGAAAACTGAAAAATTTTAAAATGAAAACTTGAAGAATTGCTAATCGAAAATTTGAAGAAACGGAAAATTGAAAAAACAAAGTTATTGAATCAACACTGAAAATTTGAAAAACTGTAAATATAAAAAAATATATAAAACCGAACTGAAAAATTGAAAATTGAAGAAATGAAAAATTAGACTTGAAAAATTCAAAAATTTGAAATTGAAAACTCGAGAAATTTTAAATGGAAAAATCTAATAACGGAAGAAACAAAAACAAAATACAAATCTGAAAATCGCAAATCCAAAAACTGAAAAAATGAAAAATTAAAAAATTTGAAGAAACGATAAATTGAAATTAAAAAAATCAAAATTAAAGAGTCGAAAAATTGAAAATTTGAGGAATGTTAAAAGGGAAAAACTGAAAAAATGAAAAAAAAAAAAAAACCAGAAGTGGAAAATCGAAAAATTTTAAAAGTTATTACATGTTTAAAATGAAAACTAGAAAAATCGAGAAAAATCAGAACTTTGAAAAACCGAAAAATTGAAAAAATAAAGAAAAAAGCCGAAACGAAAATCTGCAAATCGAAAACTTGAAGAGATGAAAGAAAAATTGGAAAATCGAAAGATTGAAAATTGAAAACTCGTAAAATTGCAAACCGAAAAATAGCAAAGTCTAAAACAATAAAAAAAGAATTTAAAAAATAAATTGCAAATTGAAAATTTGAAAAAACGAAAAATTGAAACTGAAATGAGAAAACGAAAACTCAACGACACTCAACAACTACTATGGATATTTTTAGGACGGAGAATACAAATATGCAACACTTCTATTTTTTATTACAGTACATATGTATTACAATATTAGAACAACTATTTTATCAAAGATCACAGAAACAACTTGACAACAAAATCGTTACACAATTAGTTTCTTTTTGTAATTTCATGAAATACAATACGCATATTTATTCATTAAAAATAAAGTAATAATAAAATTGCCTCTCGAATTTGGCACCAGTCCTGCGCCACACATCATGCAATTCATAAAACCACAAAGAGATTATAAAATCTGCAGTATCACAACTCACTTTGTTGTTACAAATTATATGACATGGAAGACAGAAATCGCCAATAAAAGTGCATATAAATAAATACTGTTCATTAGTTGCAGATATGAACATGTACTTTAGATTAGTCCTCGCAATTTAGGCCACAGTTTTTTAAACTCCCAAAAATCAAATTCTGAGAAAAACACCATCAGCAATAGTAACATATCACCAAGCAAATGAACGAAGGAACACATCTTTGGAAATCAGAGATCATATCAAAACAGACTTGGTAGCGATACCAAAACAACAAACAAATTAACACAAATGTGGCCCAAACCCGACCAGTTTAAACAAATACGACAATAGTTAGGCTTGATTATTAGACTTGTTAGACCTGAGCCGGTCGAGTCCTGAGCGCTCCTCTTCTTCGTCGCTCGTGTAGGAAGACATACCAGAAACGGCGCCTCTCGTAGTAACCTGCATTAATTCTTGATCCGGGGCATTTCTATTTTCATACAACAAAATATTCAACGTCTCTTCGTAAATCCTCGCTTCGGGACATTCCACTTTCGTGTGCTTCTTATCCGTAGCGTACACAATCGAAGTGCAGCACACCTCCGAAACCTTCTTGCCATGTCCATAAAAGACCCAACAACAAATCTCACTCGTACTAATCACGTCCTTCAAAAACAAGACTCGATTGCTATACCACAGCGACAGCTTATCAAACAACTCGATATTTTTCAACAAATTATCATCAGAAGTGGTTGTATAGGAATACTTGTTATTGTGCCGATTGATTAAAAGTTTAATAGCGGGCTTGGTTGTCGAACTTATCAACAGCTCCTCTTCCTTCTGCGAGGTGATAAGCGGGACTTTGCAAATGGGGTCGTGGTCGCTCCTTTCCTTCTTAGCTAGCGCTTGAGTGCACGATTCCGCCAGCTCCGCTATGCAGTAATACTTAGCTTCGGCGTACAACTCCGCTATTTCTTTGCTGCTTTCAGGCAGCGACACGTTTCCATCCCGCAGGAAGTTTAAAATAGCCCCAAAGTGCTTGCCACATCGGTCTATCAAAATCCACCCTGAAGACAACTTTGTCGAGAAGTGTACACAATGATTATTATCGTCTTACCATCCGAATCCGACAAAACTTCCATTCTACCACTAAACATCGCCCGCAACATCGTATCGTGCTTCGTAAGGGTTCCAATGGTGGTGTAATGAAGACACCCCCCAACGTTAAGCTTGACGTACTGGGAGGGGTTACCTTTAATCACAGTCTTACCCGACATGGTTTTTGTTTCAGATTTCAACATTCAAACTGTTGGAAATACCAAAATGGTAAATTTCTAATCAAAAACTCATTAATTGTTATCAATGGGGGCCATTTTGGATCTGTTGTGTTTTTATTTTTTTTAGGAGAAACGTCATTTCGCAGACGTTGGTACCACTGACTGTCGTTGCCGTGGTTACCAACTTTCATACAAACAACGAGGCGCCATGTCGGATTTATTAGCTAATCAAGGAATTTTTTTCGATGAAGTCGACAAAGTCTGCATTTTGGAACCAGAAGTGGCCAAACAAACCAACGACTTGAAAGAAGAATGCCAGATTTACGTGGAAAGTAAGTTTATTTATCATTAAACACTTTAATCGGGGTTGTTGTAGAAATGGACGAATTTCAAAAAATTGCGTCAAGGTTTATCCAAATGATCGAGGTTTTGGGAAAGGAGGTGGAAAGCCAGAAAATTAAAGCTATTGGGGCCCGCAATATACTCCAAAGTATGGAAAAACAGAAGGAAAATAACCAACAACAGTTGCAAGTAAAGTACAAACTTAGTCACACCAGAGGGACATTTTTTTTCGTAGGCTGTAATTACTGAAAAGTCGGTGGAATTAGAACGACTAAAAATTCAGTTAAACTCGCTACAAAAAACCGAACTCGAGCAGAACGAAATTATAAACGAGTTAACACACTACTAAAAAGTAAGTATTATTGAATGAAAATATAATATACATATTGAAAAATAAATATTTTATTACACTTTCCTGATCACAATCATGACGGTTTACCCATGTTATACTCCTGCTCAAGCGTCAAGGAAACCGAGCAAATTAAAACATTGACTTGCTCTGGCGACGGGCACGCGATCAACAATAAATCTTCAGTGCTATAACCAGCAGCAACCAGCGTTTGTTCAAACTGAACAAACACATTGATCACGTTGTTCTAAAACAATCACGTTAATGCGCATGCGCAGACCACTTTGGCTCCGCCTCCAACTCACCTTAATCGGTCTGAACAAAATAAATTCCGTCTCTCGATTCGCCAAATACAACTGCATCGATCTTTGAATTTCAGGAACCTTCGCCTTCATGTTTTTCAGCGTCTCGCTTACCACCTCGGCTAAAACTTTAGCTTTGCCGTAGTGGTGTTGCGGGAGAGTCAAGTTGCTGTTTTCGGTGTTGATAGATTGTAAAAATTCGTCCGCCTATGCAATAAAAACAATAACAATATTACTATAAGTGACAATTTACCCTTCTCTTCCATTGTTGTAGATTTCCCGTAAGAACAGTGGCGGCACAATTGATAAAAGCTTCACACGCTTGTTTCAATTGTTTGTCGATTTCTTTCCTAGAGTCGACTAGATACTCTCGCACACGTGGTGTCCCTTCCAACAGAAATTCCAAGAGGGCGTTGTTGCTCCCGAAAGTAAACAATCTATCGCGTTTATTGAGTAGTTCGACTGCCGCTTTTTGCACACTACTGAAGTCCAAACTCATTTCTTTTACGGTGAAATCGACCTGAAACGGCGCGATTTGTTCGCGGATGATTAGTAAGTGTTTAATTTGGAAAAGGCGGCCGTCGATTTCAGACTACAAAAACAACGTTACGGGTGTTAAATTACAAAACGATAGTTACTTTTCGTGCGGATATTAAATTTGCCGCTTGTTGCACTGTTTGGATGCATATAAGTAGAGCTTCTTGCGCTAGACCTTGGAAGGTTTCCCTATCCAAACAAAAGTACAGTCGGGATAAAATTACGAGCGTTCGTTTGACAGTCGGGTACCACATTCCATGCAAATCCGCAGGCGAATCTGAATGAACAAAAATAATACAAAATATTTTCGTGTGGGTGCGGCGTACTTCCAGTGTATGACCTAAACTGTGCAAACTGATTTGACGAGTTAATACTGGCCACTTCTTGCGACTCTAACGATACCACAGAGGCGCGAGAGTCAGTCCTAACTTCTTGTAACTCTAGAGTTATGTTCTGTAACAACTGGGTTAGTAATATAGTGACTGGATTAAACATACTGACTTCCATCTGCTCCAACTTTTCAGGGTAGGCGAGGTCACCTGGAGACGGATTATACGACAATAAATCATGCTGGAAAAATATGTTAGTACGAAAAACTAAACGTTCCTCTACGTCTTGAAGCAACTGTCTGATGACCTCCACGTATTTCAAAAGATGGTCTAACAAAATAAAATTAACAAAAATAACATCTGCAAAATTACCCACCGTTGTTGATAGTTTTCTCAGCAAGCATTTCTTTTTGTAAAATTCCACAAAGTTCGCTTAACACCTCCACGTGATTAATAATTATCAAGCTGGGTCTTAGAGTGTCATACAAGTGTTGGCAAAGAACGCCTAAATAGTCACTTGAAACAGAATTAATTCAATTTATTATAATGGTAATAAACAAACGACTGTACTTAAGCTCTGACGAGTACTGAGTGAAGAAATAATGGTAACAACAAGCCTCATCTTGACAAGTTTTCATTATGAATAGGCCACAGGACCGGAAAAGTATGCTATAGTCGTTTCTGTATCTTTCTTTCAGCTCTGATAACGCTTTAGAGACGGCTGTGCTCAATATTGGTAGCCGTTGTGACACGTAAAATTTCTGACAATCACTTACTACCGTACTATATCTAGAATCGCATTTTTAATACTGTGTAAATTGTTATATTTTTCTTACTGTTCGTTTTTTTCCGCTTTTTCTTCCAGGTGTGCCAGAATTAGCTTGATTTTAGCCGCCGCACTTTGAAATTTGCCGTAATAGAGCGAAAACGCGGTATCCATAGACTCAGCAGTGTTGGAATTCAAAGGTACAAGGTTTGTTTTAGAGTCAGGATCAAGGACTTGTTTTGTGGCTTCCACGATAACGTTACTCACAGCTTTGTAGATTTTATTGAGCGCGTTTACTAGCAAACTTTCGTATTTCATTTTGTAAATTCGCGACTCTTTGAAACTCATCTAAAAAAAATTAAATCATTGCAAAGTAGCAATTTTTGAAAACTTTACATGTTCCCCAAGATACTCCATCGCCGCGTCGATATTATTCAACTGGTCAATGTACTCCTGACTGTTAATTCTGTGTGAAAATCGCTCCACATTGTCCTGAGTGGTTTTAAAAATCAAAAAATAGTGCAACTTTTCATTCAGGTTTTTCTTTTTTTCTTTCAGGATTCTCTGGTGGGTCATCAATTGCTCACTCAAGCTGTGCAAAGAATCGGTTTTTGCGGTCACCTGTAGGTACTTATTTCGCAATTCTTGTAACAAGTTTGTGGTTTCATTGGCCTAAAACTCTCAATACACTTATTCAAAAATAAAATTGAATTACAAGTTTACATAATCAAACAATTTTTCGCAATTGGACCGTTGGGTGCACAGGGTTTCATAATAGGTCTGATACTCTTTCAAATTTTCATATTTGATTTCATTCTCAGACGCAACCATCCATTTAATGTAGGCCCTGTTTGTGTCAATTTCAGGCATTGTGTCCTCTTGATCCTCCTGTTTGGCTTCCTCTTGAACCTCATCCGTTGCTTGATTCTTAATTATGTCCCCAATTTGGTAAATAATGTCGAGTTGTTCCTCCATCAAGGGGGCCAACGGGTCATTATTCGACTGCCAGTTAGTCACGTTTTGCTGAATTTGAAGATCCACTTTGTCTTCAGTGGTAGTCGGAAGACGATTCATTATCACCGTAATTAAACAAAACACACAAAAATATTACATTTTCATTAATATTGTTTTATTTTTTCGTACTTTGACAAGAGTGACAGCGTGGTGACAGCCGTCGTTTGTCAAAATTCTAACCAAAAATCGAGGTTATGTTTTCAGTTTCAAAAACATGTTAAATAACACAAAACGCGTTTCGTACTGCATTCTTTCGTTTAATAAACGTTTCATGTCAGTGAAACGCAAATACCCCATAAATCCCGACGACGCCAAAACTCTACCAGTGTTCGAATATGGGGTTAGTAAAGACTCGTACAGGAGAGTCTTCGTGTGGGGGAACCTCCAAACGGGGGCTTTAGGTGTCCCATATTTGAAAAAAAACCGTAACACGTTACAACGGGAATGTTTAGGTGCCCCCAAACGCTTAGGGTTTGCTGAAAAATTTCCAGTACGTTGTACAATCATTCAAATTTCCAAACACTTACAGTTTGGTTGTAGGTTAAGACTGCGGCCTGCGGTTTCGGGTTTACCGCCTTTGCTGTGGACACCGACTCCGGGCACAAATTATATGGAACCGGACTCAACACCGACTCGCAAATTGGCCGCCACGAAATCCGAAGCGGACACCCTTTAGAAATTATTTATTTCCCTCAACCTATCCACCTACCGCTGAAAAACCCAAAAACTAAAATAAAAAAAATATCAGCGGGGCGAGCGCACCTTGCGGTTTTAACCGACGAAGGTTTATTTCTTCTAGGAAACAACTCATACGGACAATGTGGCCGAAAAATAATTCAAGATGAAAATTACTTCATGAGTAATTATATCAACCACGTGCGCCACATTGACGGTCAAACTATCAAAGACATAGAGTGTGGACAAGACCACACTTTAGCTATCACCGAAAATGGGGCTGTGTTTTCATGTGGATGGGGGGCTGACGGTCAAACGGGCCTAGGAACTTTCAACAACGTCAGTGTTTTTAGTCGCGTGAAAGGCGACATTGAATCAGAACACATCATAAAAGTGGCCTCTAGGTCCGATTTCGTGTTGGCGCTAAACAACAAAGGTGAGGTGTTTGGTTGGGGGAACGCAGAATATGATCAGATTCGCAATCAGCGTAATGAGCAACAAATTTGTCATCCAACGCACCTTAAACATTTGGGTGTTGGAAAAGTCCAGGATGTGGGGGCTGGGGGGTCTTTTTGTGTGGTGGTTAATGACAAGGGGGAGGTGTTTACGTGGGGGTTTGGTATCTTAGGGGCGGGGCCGAAGGTTGAACAGTCTTTTAAGCCAATCAAACTAGCGGAAAGTTTGTTTGGGAGGAACGATTTTCAGCCTGATAGTAGGGTGGTGAAAGTGGTTTGTGGGTTGAGTTATGCGGTGGCGGTTACTAGTTTGGGGGATATTTATGCGTGGGGGAGGAATTTGAGGAGTTGTCTTGGACTGGGGAGTGAAAAGGATCAGTATTTTCCGTTTAAGGTGTCTTTGGGGGGTTATGTCGAGAGGGTGTTTTGTGGGTATGATCACACTGTAGCTATTTGTAAGCCGTTTATTTAAGTCATAATATATATTTAAAAATATTTGCCTGCGTTTTTTCTTTCCCTCCGAAAATGTGATGACGTCAACGAAAAATTTTTAAATGTGGAAAGTGGCGTAATATCTGTTACAGAAAAATAGGTACATCTACTGTTTTATACAGGGTGATTCACGAATAGTGTCCGTTTTAAAAATTGTGTTTATGCAACCTAAAATACAGTTTAACAGATTACTTATTATTCATTTGAATAACTTTATTACCCGAGTTATTCAATTTTGAGAAACGTCATATTATAATTATTTGTTCTTCTGTATAGTGGGAAAGTGAACTAATAGAAATTAGGCTATAAAACTAGTAAAAAATGCTGTAATCGTATTTTTTTGTTGTTGTATTAATTGCTAGAGGATTTATTTCTCATTTCAGAATTCAATTTTCGATTTTTCGATCTTTTAATGTTACAGTTTTCGAGTTTACATTTTTGACGATTCTGTAATTTTTTGATTTTACAATTTTTGCGTTTTCCAATGTTTTGATTCAATTCGTTTTTTTTTCTTTCCAATTTTTCGATTCATAGATTTTTAGTTTTTCAATGTTTCAATTTTTCATTTGAATTTTTTATTTTCTTTGTTTATATATTTTTTCGATTTTTCAATGTTCCGATTTTAAAATTTATTGTTTTTTCAATTTCAATTTTCTCTATTTTTAGAATTTTTCCATTTTTGTTTTTTTTAATTTCTTAATTTTTTCCGTTCGGTTTTTCAGTGTTCTGATATTATAATTTTTCTTTTTTCAGTGTGAAATTTTTGAATTTTTCAATTTTTCGGTTTTTCAAATTTTCGATTTTTTAATTTTTCGGTTCTTCAGTTTTAGATTTTCAGTAACCCGATTTTTCAATTTTCCGTTTCTTCAATTTTTGATTTTCAATTTTTCTAGTTTTCATTTTAAATATGTAATTGGTAATTTTTAAAAAAATTCACTTTTTCAATTTTACGACTTTTGAGTTTTGCCATTTGCATTTTAAAACTTTTTCATTTATTCGATTTTTCAATTTTTAGTCTTCTAATTCTTCGATTTTTTAATATTACAGATTTCGACTTTCCAAATTTGACAATTCTATAATTTTTTGATTTTAAAATCTTTGGGTTTTCCAATGTTTGGATTCGTTTCGTTTTTTGTTCTTTCGAGTTTTTCGATTCATAAATTTTCAGTTTTTTAATGTTTCAATTTTTCATTTCGGAATTTTATTTCCTTAATTTTTTCAATTTTTCGGTTTTTCAATGTTCTGATTTTGTGATTTTTCTTTTTTCAGTGTGAACTTTTTCGATTTTTGAATTTTTCAATTTTTTGGTTTTTCAAATTTTAGATTTTTTAATTTTTCGGTTTTTCAGTTTTAGATTTTCAGTAACCCGGTTTTCAATTTTCCGTTTCTTCAATTTTTGATTTGCAATATTTCTAATTTTCATTTTAATGTAATTATAATTTAAAAAAAAATCACTTTGTCAATTGTACGACTTTTGAGTTTTTCCACTTTTCAATGATTGGATTTTAAAACTTTTTCATTTATCCGATTTTTCAATTTTCAGTTTTTAATTTTTCGATCTTTTAAAGTTAGTTTTCGACTTTACAAATATCACGATTCCATAATTTTTTGATTTTACAATTTTTGGGTTTTCCAATTTTTCGATTCATAGATTTTCAGTTTTTCAATGTTTCATTTTTTTATTTTAGTTTTTTAATTTCTTCATTTTCTCGATTTTTCGGTTTTTCAATGTTCCGATTTTGTAATTTTTCTTTTTTCATGTAAAATCTTTCAATTTTTTAATTTTTCGCTTTTTCAAATTTTAGGTTTTTTTAATTTTTCGGTGTTTCAGTTTTAGATTTTCAGTTACCCAATTTTTCACTTTTTCATTTCTTCAATTTTCGAATCGCAATTTTTCGGTTTTTCAAATTTTAGATTTTTTAGTTTTTCGCTTTTGCAATTTTAAATTTTTCGATCTTATTTGACGATTCTGTAAATTTTTGATTTTACAATTTTTAGGTTTACCAATGTTTCGATTCGATTCGTTTTTTTTTCTTTCCAATTTTTAGATTCATAGATGTTTAGTTTTTCAATAATTCAATTTTTCTTTTCGGTTTTTATTTTCTTTGTTTTTGCAATTTTTCGATTTTTCAATGTTCCTATTTTAAAATTTATTGTTTTTTCAATTTAAATTTTTTCCATTTTTAGGATTTTTCCATTTTTCGATTTGGAACTTTTCCTTTCGGTTTTTTATTTTCTTCATTTTTTCCATTTTTCGGTTTTTCAGTGTTCTGATATTATAATTTTTCTTTTTTCAGTGTGAAATTTTTGAATTTTTCAATTTTCGGTTTTTCAAATTTTAGATTTTTTAATTTTTCGGTTTTTCAGTTTTAGATTTTCAGTAAGCCGATTTTCCAATTTTCCGTTTCTTCAATTTTTGATTTGCAATTTTTCTAGTTTTCATTTTAAATATGTAATTGTAATTTAAAATTAAAATCACTTTTTCAATTTTACGACTTTTGAATTTTTCCATTTGCATTTTAAAATTTTTTCAATTTTTAGTTTTCAAGTCTTCGATTTTTTTATGTTACAGATTTCGACTTTCCAAATTTGACGATTTTATAATTTTTTGATTTTAAAATTTTTGAGTTTTCCAATATTTGGATTCGTTTCGTTTTTTCTTTTTTCGAATTTTTCGATTCATAGATTTTCAGTTTTTTAATGTTCCAATTTTTCATTTCGGAATTTTATTTCCTTCGTTTTTTCAATTTTTCGGTTTTTAATGTTCTGTTTTTCTAATCTTTCTTTTTTGAATGTGAAATCTTTCAATTTTTGGATTTTTAAAATTTCGGTTTTTCAAATTTTAGTTTTTTTTAATTTTTCCATATTTTAGTTTTAGATTTTCAGTTACCCGATTTTTCAATTTTTCGCTTCTTCAATTTTCGATTTGCAGTTTTTAGGTTTTTAAAATTTTAGATTTTTTTAGTTTTTTGTTTTTTTCAATTTTAGATTTTTCGATCTTTTAATGTTGCAATTTTCGACTTTACAAATTTGACCGATTCTATCGTTTTTTTATTTTAAAATTTTTGGGTTTTCCAATGTTTGGATTCGTTTCGTTTTTTCTTCTTTCGAATTTTTGGATTCATTGATTTTCAGTTTTTCAATGTTTCAGCTTTTCATTTCGGAATTTTATTTCCTTCATTTTTTAAATTTTTCGGTTTTCAATGTTCTGATTTTGTATTTTTTATTTTTTCAATGTGAAATCCTTCAATTTTTGGATTTTTAAATTTTTCGGTTTTTCAAATTTTAGATTTTTTAATTTTCGGTGTTTCAGTTTTAGATTTTCAGTTACCCGATTTTTCAATTTTCGATTCGCAGTTTTTAGGTTTTTCAAATTTTAGATTTTTTAGTTTTTCGTTTTTTCAATTTTAGATTTTTCGATTTTTTAATGTTGGAGTTTTCGACTTTACAAATTTGAGGATTCTGTAATTTTTTGATTTTACAAATTTTGGGTTTTCCAAATATTCGATTCGTTTTTTTTCTTTCCAATTTTTCGATTCATAAATTTTTAGTTTTTTATAATGTTTCAATTTTTCATTTCGATTTTTATTTTCTTTGTTTTTACAATTTTTCGATTTTTCAATATTTCGATTTTAAAATTTATTGTTTTTTCAATTTCAGTTTTGACCATTTTTACGATTTTTCCGTTTTTCGATTTGGAACTTTTCGTTTCGGTTTTTATTTTCTTTATTTTTTCAATTTTTCGGTTTTCGAATGATCTGATTTTATAATTTTTCTTTTTTCAATGTGAAATTTTTCGATTTTTGTATGTTCAATCTTTCGATTTTTCAAATTTTAGATTTTTTTATTTTTCAGTTTTTCAGTTTTAGATTTTCATTGACCCGATTTTTCAACTTTCCGTTTCTTCAATTTTTAATTTGCAATTTTTCTAGTTTTCGTTTTAAATATGTAATTGCAATAAAAAAAAAACACTTTTTCAATTTTACGACTTTTGAGTTTTTCCATTGATTGATGGTTGGATTTTAAAACATTTTCATTTATTCGATTTTTCAATTTTTGCTTTTTAATTTTTCGATCTATTAATGTTAGTTTTTCACTTTACAAATTTGACGATTCTATAATTTTTTGATTTTAAAATGTTTCGATTCGATCGTTTTTTCTTCTTTCCAATTTCTCGATTCATACATTTTCAGTTTTTCAATGTTTCAGTTTTTCATTTCGGTTTTTTTATTTTCTTTGTTTTTACAATTTTTCGATTTTAAAATTGATTGTTTTTTCAATTTCAATTTTATCCATTTTTATGATTTTTCCATTTGCAACTTTTCGTTTTGGTTTTTTATTTTCTTCATTTTTTCAATATTTCGGTTTTTCAATGTTCTGATTTTATAATTTTTCAATTTTTCGATTTGCAATTTTTCAGTTTCAAATTTTAGATTTTTTAATTGTTCGGTTTTTTAATTTTAGATTTTCATTTATCCGATTTTTCAATTTTCCGGTTCTATAATTTTTGATTTGCAATTTTTCGGTTTTTCAAATTTTAGATTTTTCGATCTTTTAATGTTACAGTTTTCGACTTTACAAATTTGACGATTCTGTATTTTTTTTGATTATACAGTTTTTGGGTTTTCCAATGTTTCGAATCGATTCGTTTTTTCATCTTTCCAATATTTCGATTCATAGATTTTTAGTTTTTCAGTGTTCCAATTTTTCATTTCGGTTTTTATTTTCTTTGTTTTTGCAATTTTTCGATTTAGCAATATTTCGATTTAAAATTATTGTTTTTTCAATTTCACTTTTGTCCATTTTTACGAGTTTTCAATTTTTCGATTTGGAACTTTTCGTTTCGGTTTTTTACTTTCTTATTTTTTTTCTTTTTTCGGTTTTTCGGTGTTCTGATTTTATAATTTTTCTTTTTTCAATGTGAAATTTTTCGATTTTTCAATTTTTCAGTTCTCAGTTTTTCGGTTTGTCAAATTTAAGATTTTTCACTTTTTCGGTTTTTC